CTCTAGTTTTTAAATAAAGAAAATAACACCTATCTCACAGTACTGTGTTAAAAACGAAAAGATGTAAGATATGTGTCAGCAGTTGCCTGATTCTCTACCCTGCTTCTCTCTACAGTGGCCATCACTTAACCACTACCTGCAGGCTTGGCCCCAGCCCAGGTTTCAGAACCAATTCTTCCTCTGTGTGAAGGGCGTAAAGACCTCTAGTTCAATGCTGAGAGGGATTCCACATCAACCATGGTTCCTGCTGGTCCTGATGGCTCAGTTGTGGCAAGTGGGCCTCTACCCTAAATGCAGCATGGTAGAGTTGTTAAATGGGCCCTGGGATAGTATTGTGTTTTAATCATAGCTCTGCCCTTCCTAATGAGCTTGGGTAAGTTACCTCACCCTTCTGTGACTCAATTTTCTCATCTATAAAATGGGGAGAATATTAGTAGCTATTTCAGAGGGTTATAGTAAAGATTTAAATTTAAAAATATAAAGTACATATAACAGTACCTGGCAGATAGTGTCTGTTATTGTTATAGACCTTAAGCGATTTATACTTTTTATTATTATACATAAATGACATCAATTATATACTTATATTATTACTGACACCAATTAGGTCCCTGCTTGGTTGCCTCAGGTCTTCCCAGGTAACTTACCCATTCTCTCTGGGGCTGCAGCCATCATTGCTATCATGTCCTGGGGTGGAATTCCTGCCGCTGAACCCTTCCCTGATCTGGGGCCTTGCAATCTGCAGAGGAAATCCGTGATGTTGGCTGCCCTCCACATCTCTGAATATTGCTTGCTCTGGTTTCTCCACAATGGTGCCCTGGTGGTATATGTGGTTCCTTGGTGGTGCAGGCCACTTGCCTAGACCAGTTGTTGCCATCGCATATTCCCTGGAGCCTGTTTTCTGCCCCCTGCTGTCCTTTCTCCATAAGTAGATCCTGAGCCACACAGTGTGTGTGCTCAGAAGTTACCATGTCAGCTTGACACAACCTTATAAAATAACTTTGTAAAGCATCGTGCACATAAAATGGGTTTGAATCTCAGTACACACGCAGGAGGTAAGAGAGATTATATCTCTGCTTTTTTGTTAACAGGTTTATTGAGATATAATTCACAGACCATATAATTCACCATTTAAAGCATAACACTTAATGTTTTTTTGTACATTCACAGAGTTGTGCAACCATCGCAAATCAGTTTTTGAACATCTTCATCATACATGCCCCCAGCCAAACAAGACCAAACCAGACCACACCAAACCAAACCAAATCAAACCAGACCAAACCAAACTCTGCTTCCTTTAGTTATCCTTTATTTCCCCAGCAACCATGAATCTACCATATGTCTGCAGACTTGCTTATTATGGATATTTCTTATAACTGGAACCATACAATATGACAATATGTGGCCTTTTGTGACTTCTCCATTTAACATAATGTTTTAAAGGTTCATCCATGGTGTAGCCTATATCAATACTTCATTCCTTCTTATCACCAAATAATATTCACAATTCTCTACTTTTAGCTCAATAGTTAATTTTAACTCTGTGCCCCCATTCCAAGGAACTAGTGAGAAATTCACCTTGTCATTCTTGGGGCTTCCCATTGGAGGCTGTGCCAAAATCCCAGGTTCTCAGCATAGCTGAGATATCTCAGAGGCCCAGGAAGGCATTAGTCATCCGTCCACACAGGTTCCTTCTGAGATGCCACGTGTCTCCCCTCTGCCACCTCTGTGCTGCCTTTGTTGTGGGTGGTGAAGTCTGGGCCAATGTTTTGCCTCTTGCTGCACTGATGGCCAGTCTCTCTGAGGTCCTGCTGTGTCCTGGTGAGTAAGTCAAGTCACCGGGGATCCTTGACTTTGACTCCTCCCCCAAGCCAGAGACACTTGCATTTTAGACTGGGGGCATTTCTCCCCAGATTTAAAGGATCCTCCTTAATGCCCCGAGGCTTTTGAAAACAAAGCTCAGGAATCCAACCTCAGTGCTTTCCCTGAGTCAGGGGAGCACAGAATGGGAATCTCCCATGGGAAAACCAAAAGGGGAAACACAGTTGACCTAAAAAAAGTGATCGGTGTCAGAGTTCATGCTCCTGGTCCAGTCTCTCTGCCCAGAGAGGCATAGAGAGCGTTGGAGATCTTATCCCACTAGGCCTTCCTTATTCCCCAATCCAGTCCCTGCGGGCTTTCCTGTGCCGCCTGCCACTGCTCCCTGACAGCTTTTAACTCCCACAAGCCACTGAGAGGACTTGCCAGGCCAAAACCTGGGCTCTGCTGCTTGACTTTTTACTTTAATGAAACTCTCTTTTTTGGTGAAATAAAAATGATCTCATCGATGCTAATAGAAATGTAGGATTTGCATTTCTGTTTTATATTTCTATTATACATTTTTCTACAGTGTTTTTATTACAGAGTTCTGTTCTGTATTTCTGTTGTTGTAGAATGCACGGGAGAACGATCAGCCAGCACTCTGAGGGAGGAAAGTTTAACCTTTATTTCACAGATCTGCTAGTCCAGGGGAATTCCGGATCCAAATCCTGAACTGAACTCGTGGGGAGACTCTGGCTTCCATATCTCCTCCTGTGACGGGCCCCTGAGTGTCCCTGCAGCTCCGCCCAAGTCAGTCAGAGGTGGGAAGGAAGACTACAGTTTTAATCAGATACTGAACTAGGTTGCAAGCCCTCCTCCCCACCCCCCATTTTCCTTTTCGTTTCTACTATACATCTCTATGAAAACTATCAAGTGGACCAGGTTTTGGTCTCAGGATTCCTTGACACTTAAAAAAATTATTGAGAATCCTAAAGAGCTTTTGTTTATTTGAGCTCTACCTATAAATAAGAACCATATTAGAAATCAAAACAGACATTTAAAAATGTTTATTATTAATTTGTTTGAAAAGAATAAATCCATTGCTGATAACATAAGTAACATTTTAATTAAAATATATTTATTTTCCAAAAGAAAAATAATTAGGGAGTAGTATGTCTTTTTATTTTTTTTTCAATTTTTTAAATGCCTGAAAATAGAAGACAGCTGGACTCATATCGGTTTTACATTCAATCTGCTATATGTTGTTTTTGTTGAAGAACATGAAGAAAATCTGGCATTCCAGAGATACATAGTTGAAAAGGGAGCAGTATTTTAATAGCCATTTTGGATAATTGTAGATGCTACCCAAACTTTAGCAAGAGGCAGTTTCTTAAAGGTTATTTGGCAACAAATATTGCCAGATATTTTCTTTGAAGTGATAGCCTCACTTTGTTAATTTTCAAAAAAGTGTCAAATACCTAAATTGGAATAAGTTGTTTTTTCAAGTAAAAATTAGGTTTCATGAACAAAGAGGTTAGTTCATCTTGCAACCCAAATAATAACACAATCATTTTTCTTGGAGACAACCCTGCTACTTCAATACAGAGTAGGAGTGTTTTGTTTTTTAATCCTCACCCAAGGATATGTTTATTGATTTTAGAGAGTGAGGAAGAGAGAGAGAGAAAGAAAGAAAACCATCGATTTGTTGTCCTCCATATGTGCCCTATGGGGGATCAAACCTGCAACCTAGGTGTGTGCCCTGACCAGGAATCAAACCCGCAACCATTCTGGTGTTCAGGACGATGCTCCACCCAGCTGAGCCATCCGGCTGGGGCAGGAGCAGAAGTGTTTTGTGTGTCCAGTCTCTCACACAGACCATTACTAAGAATTTCACTGAAGTGTTGAGATTTAATGAAATTAACAATTTTTAATGGACATTCTTAAGTAAAACTTTTTTCCTTCTCTAGGAAACAGGCCTCTGTGATCCATCTTCAGCATAGTCAACTTTTAATGGAAACAGTTACTAAATTTCCCCATGGCAAACAGAATGTAGGGAGGAGGGAAGAGGATATAAGAACAAAGAACTGTGTATGGGAAAACCCTCTATGCACCCTCCTCCACTAGACAGGGGAAGGTGGAGACAACTAGAAAAGACCTCAGCCCATTTTTTAAAAAATGGCCCAATAGGAGGCAATAAGACCTAGGCGAAGTATGAGGAAACTATTAACCCCATAGTACTCAGCCAATGAGGAACCAGAAGAGGGAATCTCATACCTTAGGGCAGTGGTTCTCAACCTTCCTAACGCCACGACCCTTTAATACAGTTCTTCATGTTGTGGTGACCCCCAATTTCATTGTTACAAATCGAACATAATTAAAGCATAGTGATTAACCACAAAAACATGTAATTACATATGTGTTTTCCGATGTTCTTGGGCGATCCCTGTGAAAGGGTTGTTCAACCCCCAAAGGGGTCGCGACCCACAGGGTGAGAACCGCTGCTTTAGGGATAAATAGCCTGTGATTGCTACTCCCTGTGTGCCTGCACAACCAGATGGACATCCGCTCTTGCAAGAACATATTAAAAGTCTCGTTTTCACCATATTTCTGTCTCTGAGTCCATTATTTGAATTTGGACAGATGAGCATTTCTCACTCTTCCCTCTCTCCCTCCCTTCCTTCCTCCCTCCCTCCCTCCATCCTTCCTCCCTTCCTTCCTCCCTCCCTTCCTTCCTTCCTTCCTTCCTTCCTTCCTTCCTTCCTTCCTTCCTTAATTCATTCTTTCTTTCCTGTGTGGTAGATTAGAATGTGATGACTATTAGGTCATAGTTTGGTTCCACTGGTTGCGTTGTACTAAGGTGCTGGCAGTACGACCCAGTATTACTTTTGCACCATCAATATAAGTGTCCACATAGTGGAAAAGACTAATCAATTTTTTGTTGTTGTTGTTAATCCTCAGCTAAGGATATTTTTTTCCCATTGATTTTTTACAGAGAGTGGAAGGGAGAGGGAGAGACACAGAGAGAGAAACATTGATGGGAGAAAGACACATCGATTGGTTGCCTCCTGCAAGTGCCCCAATCGGTGCGGGAGATTGAGCCTGCAACCGAGGTACATGCCCTTGATTGGAATAAAATGAGAGCCTTCAGATGGAAGGATGATGCTCTAATCACTGAGTGGCAAGTCATTTTTTTTTCTTTAAAGACACATTTATTCAGCGTCATGATCAGACTATTATATTTAGCAATCAACAGCATGGGTGCAAAATAAAAAATCTACATTAAAACCCTTGGTTGGAATGCTTTACATTTTCCACAGAACAGAAACTAAAATAATCTGTTATACAATTAGTCACAAATACAGTCCTCGAGTTTTTTCCCCCATTCACATGAGTATTGTCTAACACATGTCTTCTTTGTAGCAGCTAGGCCCTGCCACCACTGTGCTTGGCCGAGTTCACAAATCTGTTGTAACCTGTAGCTTCCCTGTGACTTCTCTGGCTCTCCTCTCCTGCTAAGCTTTGTTTCCTGGCAGTAATTAAAACCTTCTGCCCCTGCCATAGCTACTGCTGCTGCTGGAACTGCCATAGCCACCTTGGTTTCGTGGTTTGGCAAAGCATTGACCATCACCATAAGGGCCAGAGCTTCTGCCTCCAAAGTTTCCTCCTTTCATAGGCCCAAAATTTGAAGATTGATGTTTGTAATTGCCAAAATCATTGTAGCTTCCACCACCTCCAAAATTGCTTCCATCATTACCAAAGCCATTACAGCCATCCCCACTGCCACCATATCCACCGCCACCACGGCTGCCACCAAAGCCACCTCGGCCACTGAAGTTTCCTCCACGACCAAAGTTGTCGTTTCCACCAAAACCACCTCCACAAACACCTCCGAAGTTTCCAGAACCACTTCGACCTCTTTGGCTGGAGGAAGCACTAGCCATCTCTTGCTTAGATAGAGCTTTCCTTACTTCACAGTTGTAGCCATTCACAGTGTGGTATTTCTGAATGACAGTCTTGTCTACAGAGTCATGGTCATCAAAGGTTATAAAAGCAAAGCCTCTCTTTTTGCCACTGCCTCGGTCAGTCATGATTTCAATCACTTCTATTTTCCCATACTGTTCAAAATAATCTCTTAGGTGATGTTAATCAGTGTCTTCTTTAATGCCACCAACAAAAATCTTTTTCACAGTTAAGTGGGCACCAGGTCTTTGAGAATCTTCTCTTGAGACAGCCCTCTTTGGTTGCACCACTCTTCCGTCCACCTTGTGTGGCCTTGATTTCATGGCTGCATCCACCTCCTCCACAGTGGCATAGGTGACAAACCCAAAGCCTCTGGAGCGCTTGGTGTTTGGATCTCTCATCACCACACAGTCCGTGAGTGTTCCCCATTGCTCAAAATGGCTCCTCAGACTCTCATCGGTTGTTTCAAAGCTCAGACCTCCAATGAAGAGCTTCCACAGCTGCTCTGGCTCTTTGGGAGACTCAGACTTAGACATGATGACTGAAACAGGGGGAATTCCAACGATGCTTACTCTGCAGTGTTCACCAGCAGAAAGGAGTTGTCAGGGTCCAACTCCAGCAGGTCCAGGGGTTCCCAAAGGTGTGGACGGAGTCAGCGAAGTAATGACACAGAGACAGCGCTCAGTTGATCAGCAGCCTAGCCAGGTTCTCCAGCCAGGTTCGATTTTTCTTGTCCTGTTACATCTGTATTTATACCAGTTGATTTTAATCCTATCCATTCTATTCCAAAGGTGCACTTAGTTAAGGGGTTTTATTCCCTTCCTTAGTCCTGTTAATCCCTAACTTGAGGGAAAAATCCCCACCTGGGGAAACAACCTTTCTCGGAGGGGGACCTTGGTTAAAACACATAGAGCTAAGAAGGGGAGCAAACATATTAAAAACAGTATGCCATATATGCCAGGTCCCTAGAAACATGCTGTGCAGATGTTTCTTCCCTGCAGCAACTCTGTCAAGCAGCAAGGATGGACTGGCTTCCAGCAAGGAGTGATCTAAGGAGCGTATCTCTATCATTTCACTTTTTATCCTATCCCAGAGGTCCCCCCCCACTCCTCACCCCACCCCACCTTTGCCTTCTCCTCACTCCCTCCCTCCCTCATCTATCACCAGTGGATTTTCTGTAACCCACTTACGTCTCCTCCTTGGATTGTCACGTATAAAACAAAGTGATGCCCCGGCCGGTTTTGGTCAGTGGCTAGAGCATCCGCCTGGGGACCAAAGGGTCCTGAGTTTGATTACAGTCAAGGGCGCAGGCCTGGGTTAGGGGCTCGATCCCCAGTAGGAGGTGTGCAGGGGGCAGCTGACCGGTGATCCTCTCTCTCATCGTGGATATTTCTCTCTCTCTCTCCCTCCCTCTCCATTCCTCTCTGAAATCAATAAAGATATATTAAAAACACACACACACAAACACACAACAACAACACAAAGGCATTATTCCACCTCCATGTAAAAAGTATACTTGTACAATGTTTTGCACTTGTATTTCGTGCTATTAAAACAGGGAAGTTAAAACGGGGGATTTGGGTTGGCGGGGAGAGGGTAAAAGGTTTCAAAATGGCGGCTGCCGCCCTAACTGGTTTGGCTCAGTGGATAGAGCGTCGGCCTGAGAAATGAAGGGTCCCAGGTTCGATTCCCGTCAAGGGCACATACCTTGGTTGTGGGCACATCCCCAGTAGGGGGTGTAAAGGAGGCAGCTGATTGAGGTTTCTCTCTCTTTGATGTTTCGAATTCTCTATCCCTCTTCCTTCCTCTCTGTAAAAAAATCAGTAAAATATATTGAAAAAAATGGCGGTGGCGAAGTCACTGGAGCCAAAATTGCAGCTGCCTCCTGCATGCCCACCCACTGGGGATGGAGCCCACACCCCAGGCAGGTGCCCTTCACTGGACTCGAACCCAGGACCCTTCTGTCTGCAGGACGACTCTCTATCCGCCAAGCCAAACCAGCCAAGGCTAAACTCCCTACTTTGACAGGATGACTTGTTTATTTCCACACAACTGTGGACGAGAGGAGGGGCCACATGCTAACCCGAGGAGCTCAGGGAAGGCCTGCGTGGCGGTCTTGCAGACTGAAAGGCCTAAATCAACCGCAAGGATGGTCTGAAGGGAGGCTGTTACTAAGAGCAGTTGTGGTGGGTAGTCGCGTCCGAGGCCGGAGTCTTCCCTGACAAGGTCAGTGTTTACCTGAACCTATGGTCCTTTTGCATCTAACACAACATACCTCTGAAATATCAGAGGAACTTGTAACGCCCCCCACCACCCCCAACACACCCACGCCGACACACACACACACACACACACACACACACACACACACAAGCAAATGAGCCTGGGCGCCCTGCAGAACAGAGACCATAAATTCCTTCATGGCTTTTGTTATGGCAAGTCATTTTTTAAAACATTATTATGAGAGCAGTTTTGATCTCACAGATCCCCTGAAAGGATCACTGGCACCTTGCAGACCACACTTTGAGAAGGTGAAAAGCAGAGGAAATGGAAGGGGCCAACGGCAGAGCGTGTTTCTGGTTGCTGCCTCGCCTGTCCCAGCTCCTGCGGGCTCTCCTCCTCTCCTGTCCTGGGCTGTCCATGATGCAACATGACAAAGCCTAGAGAGCCCTCGGCACTGAGCCTTTGACTTGCTCGGCTACTGGCCTCTGCAGTGCTGCTAGGAAAGGTGGTGGCCTAAGACTCTTTTTTATTTCCTCCCAACTTGAAGAATTTACTAATGAAAATACTGTATAACGCTACAAAATATCCCAATTGCTGCATAAACCATCTAGAAATAGAACTGACCAGAAATGTATTCTCTTCCCCTTGTGGTTCTGAAAGCATCTGCTCCTTAAAGAGGCTGTACTGATTACTTGGAACATTTTTCCTACACACTTTATTTTCAGTCGGCGGTAATTGAAGAGTTTGGAAAAAGAATCCCTGGCTTTCTATGTTGTCTATAGGAATAGCCTGAAGGATGGCCTTTCCTTGGCGATACCACATGTAAATAGATCTGGAAGCTTTGAACTGTGAGTCTATTGGGCTCCCTTCCAAACATCTGAGGGCTTGTTGTATATAAAAACATGACACTTGGTAACTTGTATCAAGGTTCTAATCCCTCATTATGTTACTATAACTACCTTAAAGAGTATATGTAGTAAGCAAAATATTTACCTGTGATAGAGGATAATTAATAGAATTAAGTACATTTGGTTATTTCTGAGATATATTGCTAGAACAAGCTTTTACTTAAACCTAAGATTCTGTTTTGCTTTTTAAAATTTTAGACAAGAAAATTATATGTTTCTAGAGTCATACACTTTGGCAGATTTCTAGGAGTCCAGGACTATGTTGCTGTTTTTAAAGGAATTCATCTATTTATTAAAAACAATATTTATCAAGGGCCTACTCTGTGCCACAAATTGTTGTAGAGGTGGGAATGGAGCAGTGAATAAGACACAGTCTCTGCAGTCAGGAAGCTTATAATCTAGAAGGGGAGATGAAAAATAACAAGTGAACAACTAAAAAAGAACATTTTAGATAATGTCAAGCATCTGAAGGAAATGACGCAGGGTACGGGGATAGTGAATCACAGGGAAAGGGGGGTGGTCAAAGGAGACCTCCCTAGGGAGGTGATATTTGAACTGAGACCTGAGTAATGGCCAGGAGCCAGCCCTGGGGAGAGCCGGGTGGGAAAGCCCTGGAAGCCAAGGAAACTGCAAGGACAGAGGCCCTGAGGTGGGAATGCATTTGTGGGTTTTGAGGAATGGAGCGAAGGTGTACAACTTGAGTGCAGGGAGCAAGTAGGCAAAGGGTACAAGATAAGGTCAGGTCATAAAGAGCCCTGTAAGCCATAGGCAGGCATCTGGATTTTATTATAAATAAATGAGGAAGCAACCGGAAGGTTTTAAAATATGGAGTGACATGACCTATTGGATTGTAGCGGTGCAAGACTGCAATAGGGACAGTAGTTGGTAGGCTGTGGTAATGAGTTAGTTGGATGGTGGAAATGGAGAGAAGATGGGTTAAAAGAAAAATATAGTGTAGAGGTAGAACCAAAGGAAGGCATCAAGAATTTTTTGTTTTTTTCTGCTTGATCTCCTGGATAGATGGTGAAGGCAGAAGTTGAGAGGTGTATAATGGAAAGGAACAGGCCTAAGAGATGAGGGAGAAGATGAAAAAAATAGTTTTTGTTTTGGATGCTATATAAGGTAGGATTGCATTCAGCTTCAAGGAACCCAAAACCTGACAAACCATATCTAAGCAATCAATCAATGAATTGATCAATTGATTTATTTCCCCCAGAGCAAGGATTTCAAAGATAAGCTGGATAGTATGATAGCTCATGAATGCCAATGAGATCTTAGGGATATTCTTTCTTCTTCTTGGCCCTCTTAACCATGTCTTTTATTCTCATCAATTAAGAGGTTGATGCAGCTTCAGGCATAGCATCAGCACTCCAGACAGGAGAAGGGGGAGTGCCTGTCAGGAAAGCAAACATTTTTTTAGAAATCCCCAGAAGACCTCCACTTTTATCTCCTTGATCAAAATTAGAGATGGTCAGTGACTACCTCTAGCTGCAAGGGAGGCTGAGCTTTTTAGTTGGACACATTAGTTTACTGAACAAAAATGCCCCATTTTAATAAGGAGTAAGGAGGTGAATGGATATTATGAAGGCAAGCAACCAGCATTGTCACCAAGGACACATTAAGTTTAAGGTCTTGGTTGAACTTTCGAATGATAAAGTCAAATAAGGTTGGAAATACAAGCCTGCATTCTGATGGTAACAGTTTGGGAGTCATTAGCATATAGAGTATATTTAAAGCCAAGAGGGCTGATGAGATCAACTAGGGTTAGAGTAGAGTTGGAAACTTGTCATTTTTGTATTTATTATTGTTACCTACTTTAATTAATTTTATTTAACAAACTTAAAAAAAATTGCCATTGATTTATTTTTGAGAGAGAGAGAGAGAGAGAGAGAGAGAGAGAGAGAGAGAGAGATGGGAGAGGGAGAGAGAAATATTGATGTGCAAGCAAAACATCAATTGACTACTGAGGATTGAGCCTGCAACTCAGGTATGTGCCTTAACTGTGAATCAAATTGGCAACCTTTTGGTCCTCTGGGTGATGCCCAATCAACTGAGCCACACCAGCCAGGGCTCAACAACCTTTTAATATACCCTTTTTGTGTGTCAGAAACTATTTGAGACCCTTAGGGCAGAAAGATGAAAATGCATCTCCTGCTTTTAAAAAGCTTAGACATAGAACAAAAGAAAAATCAGGTTTATTAGATGAATCACTACAATATATGTAAAAATTAACTTATTTATGTAAATATGTAGCAGTTCATCTGAATTATGATAGTAACCCTACTGCAGATTCACTTTTTAAATGAGAACTTAAGTAATTTACCTTGAGTAATTTGATATTCACCTGTCTACATATATACATTTGCATATTTTAATTTGGAAAAGCATTAAGAAAACCCTGAGTTTTTTAATATAACTAA